TCTTAATAACATAATAATATAATATAATCAAATTATAACCTTGGGTTCCAGCATGTGCGAGGCATTGGGTCAGACTACCTAAACTTATAGAGCGGTCTGATCCTCTGTCAGGTTCGTTTCGCTCTGATCCAGTCTGTGCGAGGCAGCGGGCCAGGTCACCTAAACTTATAGAGCGGCCTGCCTCCTGCCAGAATTACCCCCTCGAAATGAAACAGGAAAAGGGTTGAACCACCTAAACTTATAGAGCGGTTCAGACCTCCTCGTTCAGAACCAAAGAAACTGAAAGAACCCCCAAGTAAACAAGGCGACCCAAGGTACCTAAACTTATAGAGTGTCATGGGTTCCTGAAAATCACTCACAATCAAGCCCTCACAAGTCAGAGCAGTCAGGTCACCTAAACTTATAGGGCGACCTGACCCTCCATGCAACTCACAGCACCGGGTCTCCCCAAACTTATGGGGACTTTCCAGCCTCCAGAGCATTCAGGCTACCTAAACTTATAGAGCGGCCTGATTGCTCCATGCAAAACTTAAATAAATAAAGCGCTGGGCTTCCCCAAACTTATGGGGACCTCCCAGCCTTAACGACCCAATCAAAATTGCACGCAATATTGCCTTCCTCCCAACCTTCCCCCAGATGCAACCCCATTTGTTCACAATCTGCTTTCAGACAGTCAACAAATCTGAAACTGGAGTTGCATACACATTCCTTTACTTAATCTGAATTCAAGTCTCGAAAGTCAAACCAAAATCAGAGTACAGGATTCACGCAATACACTCAGTCAAACCATAGAAGGACATACAGCTAGGGGTTATAGTGGGGTTTATAGAGGGGGTCAGGGAATTACTAGTCAGTTCCCTGCCTCCATGACTCCTCCTGAGTCCCGGCAGAGCTCCCGCAACCGGTGGGACGAACCTCCCACAGAGGCCTTCCGTCGCCTGAGGGTCCCACAATGGCGGCCAAAAACGCAGCAGCTTGGCCAACCCAAGGTCAGACTACTAAAACAGACCCTTCTGTCAAGCTCCCAAAATGCAGTGATGACCCCCCTTCACAAACCTCTGATCACTCTCCCTACGCCTCACCGTCGGCACCCTAAGTGACGCTGCAACCATGCGGCCTTAATCAGCTATACTTAAGTAGTGTACGTCTCGTGCGCCGTTCCTTCCAGTTATGAAAAACGCACGGCGAGCTCTGCAATGGAGCGCAGTGGAGGTGCAGCAAGCCTAGCAGCTTTGGTTCAACTCAGCAGCAATCTACTCCGTGCATCAGCAAACCGCAGTGACAGTCCTCCCCTCCATAACTACTACTCCTCGGCATCAGCATCAGTCATTCGCAGCAAGCACAACAACTGGTTAGCTTCGAACGCGCGTTGCAGGGCCCAGTTCCTTGTACCGCAGGTGGACCCTCCCCTGAAGGTCAAGGCCAACAGCGGGGTGCAGGTCGGCCACTCAGCCCTTTCTCCGCTTGCTGCTCCTGTTTTGGCTCTTGCTGCTTTACCTCGCCAGGTACACACCTCCCCTTTACTGCAGCCAGTCCCAGTAGCTAGCAGTCCACCTGCAGTTCCCGGCTCTCCCGTTGCTTGGCAAGGTACCCCGTACCGGTCAACAGGTAAGTCTCTGGCCTCACGGTTGTCGGTTCCTCCTCAGACATCCGTCATCACCTATGGGCAACACAGATGTCTCGAACCGAGTACAACTTCACTCCCCGCTACTCCGTCGTCACTACGAGCCTTACCCCGACCGAACAGGTAGGCCTCCAACCCCTGCGACTGGCTTTACACCAGTATCACCGATAGGATGAGCAAAATCGAATGAATTCACCGCATGAATACGGCCAGGTCCATGCCTTCCAGCCACAGGTGCAGCGAAGTAGGGAGAAGCTTCGTTGACCGATCGTACAGGGAACCCATTCGCTACAGATAAGTTTTCAACTCCACGTCTTGCTTCATGCGGTTTTCGTCGTTCGAATGGGCAAATCGAATGCACCTTCCACTAGAACGGGACCGGGTACATTCCCACTCAGAAGCTTATCTCCCCGGGCGCAACTAGATCCCACTCTACCATCGAAACTACACGTTCAACGCGAAATCCGACATTGCCATCGGATTCGCCCCGGCCTACAACCTCCATATCAACTTTTAGCTTGTTCGCTTTCGTGTGGAAGCGAGTGAAATCTTTATTTCTCATCGTTTGCCATATCCGACTTTCGCCATCCCTTCGCACCAGCTTTCTCTACTAGCTTACTCACTACTAACTCCCTGACTAAACCAACTTCGCCATCCGACTCGCCTTGCTAGAAAACCCCCGCGTATACTTTCTCCCGGCCTGATTCTATTCAGGGTCGAGGGCGCGCTGTCTCCTTGACCGCGCCCAACTCGTCACCTCGTCATCCTGCATTCTCTGAATGCACCTGGCGTGGCCGCTGCCCAGGTTCACCCTTCCCTTATCTTCACCCGGTGTGACGCCAACCCAGCCTCCCACGCTGCACGGTCCGTCAGGCAACTTAGTGCATCCCCACTGCACTCGGTCCTACGGCGAAGGAAAAAATTCGTCGGCAAAAAGGGGAGAAAAAAGAAACACTAACGCCCGGCCCATTCCCTACTTATACAAGTCATCCACGCGCAGGGGCCAGGCTAATCTCCTTTATATCGTTCCAATGTTTACAGATGTCCCGAAGGACCCAGGCCCAATCGACGCCCCTTGATTACCGCAACAGACAGTCGTCGGGCGAATGCCGCCGTGGGGTAACCGATCAGTCCTCCACCCCCTATTCTTTTGTACGTACCCGGCGCAATCTGAGCCCGGGTTCATTCCGAATCTACGCGCGTTGTCCCTACCTAGTGGCCGCACAAATCTTCTCTGCACCGCCCCACTTCTATCGGATGCCTCGTAGAACTCACACGAGGCAGTGACCCACAACACTACTAGAGGGCACACAACCCCTTCTACATGCGCCTAGCCTGTTTCACGTCCGGGTTCCTTCCTAACCTCTGCATATATCACCTTTTCACAGCTGGCCGCGCAAATCTCCTCTGTATCCTCCCGATTTCCAGCAGAAGCCCCACCGAAAAACCACGCACCTACCTTGGGGTGCCCGCATCGGGCTGACCACCCCAAGGCGATTCAAAAATACCAGTCCTTACTCATCAGACCCCCTCGTCTGGGCTCACCCCGCGAGCCTATTCTGCACAGATCAGGAGGGATACCGTCGAAGAGTACGCCGCGCACAGGACCCACTGGCGCCCCCTTGGTCCTGCAGAGCGGGCCCGCGATCGTACTCCCGCAACAAAAGCCAAGGAGGATAGCCCCGCGGGACCCTCAACCCCTCAACCTCTTGCCGGTCTGTTACTCCTGCGCCATCATCCTCAGGTCTCGATCCCCATGCCTCCGCCATGCAAGTCCAATACCGTAACCTATAGGGCTAAGCCCAAACCTGGGACTACTCACACCAAATTCACTATAAGACGATGCGGCCTACCGCTACGGGTTGGGAAAATAGCCCAAGCCTCTCCTCCACCTCCAGACATACACGCGAACGCCAAGTACCCTCGCCGTCTTGCACAAGTCGCATCGCGGCCCCCAGTCACACCATTCCACATGCCGAACATACCGCCGACCGAACGCAATAAGTAAGAAAGCAGATCTTTTAACCCTTAATTTAATCAATAAACAAAAAAAAAACAAGTCGGGTAATTATACTGGCGTCGCGATTAATTCTAAACGGGAAAATCACACGCGCGCCTTAAAACTGTGCGCCCACTCGCCCTTCCTACTCAGACAACCCTTAGTCTGCGTGCGGACGATCCCCGCATTTTCTCGCGCAGGCACTCAAAATCCAAGTTAACCAAGCCCTCCTGTCACTTGCAAAAACCAGGGCAGATACCCTTGTAAGGGTATTCGCGCCGACAACGCTGCAGGTAAGTCCCTCTGGCCTCCGCCCAATCTCTCTCCCTATAGTACTACTCTAGCTATGGTGCCCAACGCTGAAGACTACCGCTAACGCTACTAGCGCCCAGCGCTGAAGACTACTGCTAACGCTACTACTACTCCTGCAGCGCTCCTCCAGAGTGCTGCTGCCGAATCCTGAAGACTACCTCCTGCCTCCTGAACTGCACGTGAAGTGCCTGGGAAGTACCTAGGTGGTGGTTGACCTTCATGTGCATGACAAACTTGCGCGTCAACCATGGTGGTGGTTGACCACAGGCGGCTAGACCGGCATTCTGCCAGTGGCGGCGGAACCTAGTGCAATTTGAGCCGTGAACAGGCACCCCCACTCACCAGGGAGGGACACTGTAGCCCCCTCTAGTCTAGGAACTGTAGGGTGTAGTGGAGGGACAATGAAGTCTAGGAACTTTTAATGACGATCAGGCTCAAGGGTGGGTGTAGGGCCGCCCCTGAGATTTTTTCTCAAGTCAAGGGTAGTGGAACGAGCCCCCCTTTCCACAAACAGGCAATGCAAGCCGCCGCCCATGGTAAACATCAGCCGACCTCCACAACCTTCCGGCGGTCGCCCAACATCCAGATCCTCGCACGACCCGTTCTCCGACCGGTCGTTGTCACGCCGACGACCCCACCCTTCCTATGAGCCTCTGGATCCCCGCCACACCCCTGCCCCCGGTCGACGACAAGCGACAGGTCGCTGTTGCGCCGACGACCCCACCCTTCCTATGAACCTACCTACATATGAACCCCCGCGACAGCCCTGCCCCCGGTCGGCCACATGCCAAAGAAAGAAACCCGCTAAACGACAAAATGCAACCGTAGTAAGCGCAGCCTTCTGGCTGCGCACCAAATGCCCAAAATGTAGAATGTATCTTCACGTAGATCTTGGAGAGATACGTATCTTCTCATAGATCTTGGAGAGATACGGCCGTGAATCCCGTGTCTTTTCCACCTTCGGTAATTGGCGCGCAGTGCCAGCTCACCGAGTCCTCCTCCCGCCGTTTTGCATACCGCGGCCTCGGGCACCTGGCGCGCAATGCATGGATCCCCCGGGATTCGGCAAGTTCGAGAGCGAAGTCAGAACCCGCCAGTTTTGTAGTGCCTGCCACGAACGCGGGAAAGGAACATGCAGCTTGGCGGGAAAGTAATCTGCAGCATGGCGGGAAAGTAATCTGCAGCATCACTGTTGCCACGTGGTGCGCTGTAGTATCGAACTAGTTTGAGGTCGTTGACAGCTGCCGTGACTGCGATGAACAGCGAGCTTACACTGTCGGGATCTTCGAAGTGATCTTCCATTTCCCACGAACGACGCCCAGCTTGCCACGTGTGCAAGGTGAACTAACAGCCATTCTCCAGCTCCCGCAGGAGACGGCCATCGCCACGTGGACTCATCACGGTACGCCCACGCTCATCAAGGACGAGTCGCGTACTCTTCTACGTTCCACCATTTGCACTGATTCTCCGGTACCCTTCTAGATATTCTCCTTCTCTCTTTCGGCTCTGTGTCTTTCTGGCTGTGTGTCTGTCTGGCTGTCTCTCTGTCTCTTGCGCTCTGCTTTCTGTGTGTGTGTGTGTGTGTCTGTCTGGCTCTTGCTCTCTGCTGTGTATGTGTGTGTGTGTGTGTGTGTGTGTGCTTGTCTGCTTGTGTGTGTGTGTGTGTGTGTGTGTGTGTTTGTCTGCTTGTGTGTGTGTCTCCTTCGTTCCCTCCTGTCCGTTATGTCGATTGCAGATTTTTTTGACGCTCTCTGTGCCAACTCACGGTTAGACTTTTCGGGTTGAATGTGGCTGTGTTCGAGGTCACATACAGGCCAAAAAGTCCCAGCGTGAGTACGGCTTTACTGCCCGCTCGCAGGCTTGTTGCGGTCATTCCCCGCTCTTGTTGTAACCATCTCGTTCGTCGAGTACTCCTCTTCTGTAACCTACTTCATTTGGCCGTCAGCAGAGTTCTCTCCTTCCCTCTCTCTCTCTCTCTCGTTCTTTCTCTCTCTCTCTCTCTCGTTCGTCTCTCTCTCTCTGTGTCTTCGCTCCTTTCTCTCTTTTTTGCTTCCGACGGACGCCATTGATCGTGTCGGTCTGCCTTCATCATACTGCCGTGCCGTCTAGCCCGAACACAAAGCACCCTTGTCGTCAGCGTATGTAACCTACTTTCCGTTCTGATACAGACATTGATGAGGGTGCATCGTGCCCGGGCGAAGACGGCAGTTTCGCCCTGTACGTCGTGCTTGCCGTCTATGTCTTAGGGACCTCTCCCGTCTTTTCTGTCAGCCTTCAGTTGCTGACGTCACTCTTCGTTCGATACTCAAAACCTGTCTAGTTAATAAGTGGAACATTCTAGTTAATCAATGAACTAATCCATCATGTCAGTCAATCAATCAGTCAATTAATCAAATCACCCAATCAATCAGTTAATTAATAAAATCACCCAATCAATCAGTCAATTAATAAAATCACCCAATCAATCAGTCAATTAATCAAATCACCCAATCACCCAATCACCCAATCAATCAATCATTCAATCAATCAATCAAATCAATCAATGACCGAATGAAGGAATGAATGAATGAATTCACCCAATCTAATCAATAAGGAAGCAAACAACCAATCAATTCACCCAATCTAATCAATTAGTAAATCAATCACCCAATCAGTTCTCCCATTTAAATCAATTAGTTAATGAATAAAATTATGAACCAAATCAATTAAAGTTACGCAATCAATCGATCAATCAATGAAATCAATCAATCCATCAATCGATCAATCAGCTAAACAATTAAAGCCAGATTTAAGTCCTGTAATCAACCCACTCTATCCCACAAATCCGATCAAAACCGCAATCAACGTAGGCATTGTCCTATAATCGGAAGAAAATCCGGTCAACTAAGCAATCAATCAAAATGAGGTAATCAGTCGACCAATGAATCAATCAATCAATCAAATGTGCAATCCAACGTTTTTTTTTTATTGATTCGGAGACCCGCGCATTCGCTCACCTTTTTTTTTTTTTTTTTTGAAGCCTGGCTTTTGTCCTCGCTGCGGAAGGACCGGCCATCTGCCGCCGTTTCCCCTCGTCTACCTCTCCTTACTCCTTCCTCCCTCCCTCCCTCCCCTCCCTCCCTCCCTCCACCCTCGCTTCCTCCGCCGCCACCTCCGCCACCTCCGCCACCTCCGCCTTCGCCCTCAGTTCTTTACAAAAAACGTTTTCTCTCTTCGCGTCTTTTTTTTTTTTTTTTTTTTTTTTTTAATGTTGGTGCGCCATATTTCATGTTTTCGATGGGGGGGACAGCCTTGAGATAACATCATCGAACTGACCGGCCCGAGGTAATTCCGACTTGTAGGTGTAACTCACTCATCTGCATCCGGCGGGGCGCGATGATGTTATCTCAAGGCTGTATTTCAGTGTACCAACGGAGCTAGGGCAGTTGGCATCTTCACAATTTGCCTAATACCGTTGTGTATCTTTTTAATAATTTTGTAATACTAATTTTCGTGTACTAATTTTCATGTGCCTGCGCATGTCCTTTTTTCCCTATTGACGATTTATTAATTTTTATTTGCCTTTTATTTTATGTAATACCGCCGCCTTCCTTCTGCCGCTACTTCCCTCCCTCCCTCCTCTATCCGCGGGCCCTCTCTCCGCTTCTCCCTCGACGGGCTTTCCTAAGTCTTCGATTTTCTACTTTTTTGTGGGTTTCTCCTAATTCCTCTTGGACACTGCTTTTTTTGTGCATTTTTTTGGTGCATTTTTTTTGTTTGAAATCGAGACATTTTTGT